GGGGGGGGGGGGCAGGGGGGTCAAGTAAACTGCACTTATCCTATGAAACCTATTCACATCCTCTTCCAAAGGTTCATAGATGAGCATAGTGAGCCTGGAGACTGAGCAATGTGGTGTACAACATAGAGAGGACTGTGCAAGCTGATTTAGATTGTCTGGATCCCTCCTTAATGGCGCCAAGGGACATAGGAAGCTTCAATGCTCCTTGGCACCTTTTGGTCGCTGTAATGCCATTAGAACAGCGTTCGCCCAGCTTTACAGTGGGTGAAAGGTTTACACATGAGCCCCTCTGTGTCTGCGCATGGTTTATGTGATAAAAAAGAGCTGCTAAATTTACCCTGACTTCAGGAGTGCGGATTATCTTTGATATAGATTGCCTGGCCAAGAAAAAACACACACTCTAATATTTCTTTGGACCGCCTTTACGCTCATTATGGCACTCATTTACTATGGCATCGTTTCCATAAGCTTATGCAACGTCACAACATTTATTTCCATCCAGAGTTGCATTCACTTTTCACCAAGATCTTGTAGTGATGATGGGAGAGTCGGACCACTGAGTAAAGTCTTCTCCAGCACATCCCAAAGATTCTCAATGGGGTTAAGGTCTGGACTCTGTGTTTGCCAATCCATGTCTCCCTGAACCACTCTTTCAGAATCTGAGCCCAGTGAATCCTGGCATTATCATCTTGGAATATGCCCAATGTGCCATCAGGAGAAAAAAAACACACATTGATGGCAAAACCTGGTCATTGAGTATATTCAAATAGGCAGCTGACCTCATTTTAACGGACATAACATTGCTGAACCTAGACCTGACCAACTAAAGCAACCCCATATCTTAACACTTATCCAATGGAAGGCTCTTACATATTTGCCTCTCTAAATCCAGGTGGTTTGTTTTTTTGGCCAGGCAGTGTATGTAACTAAGAGCTTGGCCTTCTTTATTTTTGAGCTATGCCCATCGCCCTGTTCATTCACCGATCTTGCCAGTAAATGTTTTTGATGCTTGTAGCTTTATATAAATAGAGGACAAGATTATCACTATACCAAGGTGTGCTGGTGAAGAGACTTATTCTCCTGCCTATCCAACGGTCCAGTGAGAGAGCCAATATTAACCACCGAGGCACAATAATAAAGAGGAGTATCCAAGGCTGGAAGGGGTTGACTCAATAGTCAATGAGGTTCATCCATTTGTAACAGCCAGCTGCAGACGAATACACATCTTGAATCCTTTCTGGCTAGCAAGTATAATAGCAAGCATCTTCTTGAGTCTGACCCCCAGGTGGAACTTCTACATGTTTAACATGACTGAACGGTATATGCGGGAACCTGTAACAAATAGAAAATAGATGTTATCCCTTAATACTACAAGTCTTTAAATTTAGTCAGAGGATAATTGTATTATGGTTGTACCATTTTTTTAAGCTTAATAGTTTCCATATTTTACCTTGTAGAATCTGATTCACCATCTGACCTGCAAATGGCAAAAGGAAGATGGCGATTTCCAAACGTTACTACAGTCCCCAACCAGCTCCTGCTGGTTTCTCTGGTGGAGCATTTATGTCATGTTCATGAACAGAACCCCCACCACTCTAAACAACTTTTTAGATGTAAGTATGATTTTAATGTCTAATTATATTTAATTGGAATATTTCATGGCATTTGTGTTACAGTTTTGGTGAGGAGTATTGTGCATACGTATGTCTGCATGATGATTTTAAAGGTGAAAAGAAAAAGCTACCCCTGTACTAGACCATTTAAGACAAGATGGTTATGAGGGCCCTACCCATGAGATAGCCGTGATCTTCCCCTCTGCACATTGAGCAAAAGAAGTCCTTCACTCGGCACTGCCACCATTCAGAGAATTTTCGTTTTTTTATTATTAATGCAAGCCGTTCTCTGGTTGGATGAGGTGGAGAAGATGGGCGGCTGATGTCACAGTCTCCACGTTATCCAGTCAAAGGACCTCCTAAATGGTGGAGGTACCCAGCCAGTGACTCCCTGTGCTCAGTGTACAGAGGGGAAGCTGCTGGAGCCACAGGCAGAAGATCACAGCTATCACTGTATGTAGAGCAGACTAGTGCAGTGATTCTCAGCATCCCTCTGGGTATCCGATATGGGTACTTACACTGAATCAAGCTAGACCATTGGAATTTTACAAATAATTACTGCCTGGAGTTGAGCTTTAAGCTATTTCCAATGCCTTAAAATATGGCAGTACATAACTATAAAAGGGAAAAAAGGCGTGGGATTTCAGTAGGGCTTTAAACCTGTCATATGAATGTGAAAGATCTTTCTATTTATAGTGAGTAAATAATGTTCGCTACCATCTGGTTATATGTTCAGGGAACACCTATAGCAATATGTGCTGGAGTTTTTAAAAAAAAAAGCGCCACATTTTAGTGCTGTTCAAAGTCCATTCTTACTGTGTAATCTCCGGGTTTGACGTATTGCCGCCTTTACACCTACTGTCCAATGAATATCAATTGCTGTAACGTTCAAGTGGAAACATTTTTTGTTAATGTTTATGGTTACACTGTATTGAAATTAATTCTAAGTCTCTGTTGAGACCCTTATTTCTGTGCTTAATATGCTGCTTCCTAAATATGCAGAAATCGTGAAGCTAAATAACCGAAATAAGTATGCTATGTAAATATTCATTTATATTTACAGTATTCTGTGGCCTCGTTCACGCGGGCATTCCGATCAGGTCTGTCCGTCAGTTTTTCCGGGCAGACCTCATCAGGACCCCGATGTTAGTCTATGAGCAGCCGGATGTAAACGGATGGGCGTCCTTTTACATTCATTTACAGAACAGATCTCCGTTTCGCCACATCTGATTGTGCCAGATAGAGGCGATCTGATGTAAACAGACATGTGTCTGTTTACATCCGATTCTCTATAGACCAACACGGGTCTGGTCATTTCAGGGTTTTTTTCCCCTCCATCGCAAGATGGAGCAAAAAGCTGGACGGACACAGATGTCAAAATGGTGACATCCATTCTGATCTGGAGGGGATCTGTGCAGGGATCCCCTCCTCATCGGAACTGAAGGCATCCGTGTGACGGGCCTTAGTGGTGTACATAATAGTGTTATAAATAAGTTTGCTTTCACTTTGATGTTGTACACACGGGTATGCTATATTCATATTCTACATTTGGGGTTAAAGGTACACTCCGGTCAAAATTAGAAAATGAGACCTAAGAGCTCACCCTGCCTGCTCAGCACTTGCGGGGATCACTTGCAACCAAGCGTTGCTATAATGCACCATTCCACTCCGCTTCCCTTTTAGCCAATAAATCCGGTGAGCCAGGTACTCTAGGGTTAAGGTACAAGTTCACTTGCGCACTAGTATTCCATAGACTTAAATGGGCCATAGCTGTACTGCAAGTGCCAGACAGGCACTATATTTTGTACTGGCTGTCTGCATGCAGAGACTGCAGCAGTCAGAAGAGATAAGTATGGATGGGGAGGGGCAGGGGAGTTGGACTAGAGAGGAGGGCTGGGGGAAAGTTTCCATAGAATATGTACTTTAAGTATTTCTAAACATATCCATTGTAGATTCCTTTCTGGCGGTCACATCCAAAATCAATAGACTTTATTTTTTATTTTTTTTAATATTCATTATCTGGGGTTGTGTTAAGTAATGTAAAAAAAAATGTAATCCGCTATGAAGATATAGCATTTCTTTACCCTCGAAAGCTTTAACTCCAGAAAATAGATATATAATATGTTGGGACAGGCTGCAAAAGCTAAACATTTGAGGTGCAAAACATGTATCCCTAAAATAAAAATAAAAAAACAATGGGCCGAAGGGGCATGGGTTGTTGGTTGGAGAAAAGGTTCTGAGGCTCGGGATTGAAGGGATTCGTTAGAATGTCGGGAGACTTGACTGGACAAAATTGGGGATGCCTGTCCTGCACAGTAACAAGGAAGGTAATGAGATGGTACATAACAGGTATTGTTTGGTGACAATCCTTCTGTTTCCTAGTGCTTTGCCAAACCTTTACAAGAATGGGCCTTCTGACTCCATTTGCCTTCAGTGATGAATTCACCTCCGTGAGACTACAGCACAGCACAGCCATCACAGAACTACTAAAGGCTGCTAAACGGCACATGCAGAAAGAGGTATATTTCATATTATGTGATTTATAGTTTATCAATACATTGTGAATTATTAGTATTTATATCGCACCATTTTATGCAGCACTTTACATCCTGCACATTCATAACGGTCCCTGCCCTCGAGGAGCTTACAGTCTAAGGTCCCACACAAGCATACATGGCTGATTTATGGCTCTCCTGTGAGCCAGTTAACCGTCCAGCATGTCTCTGGAGTACCCGGGGGAAACCCACACAAGCACAGGCAGAACATGCAAACTCCTTGCAGAGTGTGTCCTGATCGGGGAACGTCCTGGGGACCCCCAGTTTTGCAAGGCAGAAGTGCTACTGACCACTTCTTTAACCATTAGGCTACATGCACACAGTGGCACGGTGGTAAGAAATGTACTGATTTATATACACATTTTTTTTTCTGGTCAAAAAGTTTAGATGTAAATGATCAGTAAATCTTGTGTTTAGATGCATGAACATGTATACTTAAAAATTCTCATTTCATTCCTCCTGCTCTGTTTTCAATGTAATTTTCTTGTTTAGACTCCATTGACACACATACGTGCAAAAAATGCATGTACGTCCATTTTTTTTAAAGCTGTGTACATGTGGCCTTAGACTGACTAGCTAACACAATTGCTTGTCTCATGAATAAAAGGCAATTGTATCATGAATAAAGGGCAATTCCAAGCTGTTGAAGATATACAGGAATGGTGTGGCTGCAGAACTTTTTTTTTTTGTAAAGGTACACACTCTGGAACCATTATCTTTGCTTTTCTGCTTAGTGACCTACTGATACTTTACAAGCATGCAACCAGTAAAGTCAGAATTCACAATTTGCATACTCTTGCTCTGCCACATCCCATTTTCTTTTCTGCTGTTCGGACTATCAGTAAATACTTACACAATGGTGACAACCACCAAAGTACCTCCTCCTCCCACCAATTGACTTGCATAGAAGACGTCCACTTGAAGACTAGTTTTTTAACTTGAAGCTTGAAAAAGATTGAATAGCTTTTGAAGAAATACATGATGATTTATCAGTAAACAGATAATCAAAGGCGAGCCCGCAAAGCTGTGTCAATTTTAGGGTTGCTTGGGGCCTTTTTATTTCAGATAATGGCAAAAAAACTGCAAAAAGCTGGGGAAGAAGAAGATCAAGCATGGTATGTGCTTGAACAGCTTCTTTGAAGTGCAGAGTTGACATTAGGGGTCTAATAGACCCCTAATGTCAATTTAAAGAGAATATGTCACCTCCAATGTGTTATGTGATAGCAATGGAGTTAAGTGCTGTTTCTGTTATGTGTGTGTTCGCGAGGGTAGCTGACTTAAAACTTATTTTTTAAGGATATTTTTACATTTGTTAGTTAACTTTTCTTTTTTTTCTTTTTTTTTTTTCTTAACTCCATCGGGGGTGACAGGTTCATTAAGGGTCTGTTAGACCTTCAAAGAAGCTGTTAAAGCACAGATTGCGCTTGATCAGCTTCTTTCCCCGCGTTGCCAGGAAATGTCAGCTGAGAAGCCGGAAGTGATGCAATCCTTATCACTTCCGGCTTAATTCAGCGTTGAGGAGATCAGTGAATGGATGTTTGCTGGACTCTCTCTCTCTCTCTCTGCTTCTCACGGACACCCAAGAAGCTGGTCCCCGAAATCTGTTTACAGGGGCCCACTGCCAGCGCCATAAGGCATATATTACTGGCAGCGAGCGGGTAACTCCACTTAAAAAAGAAAATCGTAAAAAACAATGTATATAGCATATATAATTGTTACACAAGCCATGTTCTAATTTAATGTTATTAAATGTTACCTTTCCATTTAAAACTGTAGCCGGTGTAATGTTTTAAATATGTCAACAAAATTCACTGCAATATGTCAACCTGGAGGCATTCAATTCTGCACTAAGATACAAGTATAATTTTGGCATCCCTTGCAATAGAAATTTCAGTTGGTTAATATCCTTGCAATGTACATAGTTCACCCTGAGGGGATTTTTTTTTTTTTTCTCAACAACAATTGAGTTACTTTTTAACATTAACCATTGAAGGAAGAAGTAGGTGTAGACACTGGTGCTTTCTTCATCCTGGCTTTACTGCCTGGTGAGTTAGCAGCTTTTCAGACTTGCCTGACTGACTGACCTTCATTATGCTTGTTGCAGCTCAATGATGTATAAGTAGTGAAGTCAGCTCCTATATTTATATCACTGATAAGTCACAGAAAAAAACATAATTTACATCTAATGTTAGATCTGCTGCCTAGTTTCTTTGATACACAAAAGTAGATGTTTCATGTAGGGCTGCAAACAACTAATCGATAATGAGAATAGTTGACAACTATTCTCATTATCGATTAGTTGGTTGGGTCCCCTAGGTGCAATAGCCAGCCTGCTATTGGCTATTGCAATTTAAAATGGCCAATAGCAGGCTGGCTATTGCACCAGCCCACTACCTGTTATATTTACCTTCAGCTGCCGTCTGCAGAACCTTGCCCCTGGCAGCTGTGATTCCCTGCCAGAAGCTATTCAAACACCATGTGCTTACAATGCAATTATTGAAAAAAAACATTTCTCTCCCGTTCATTGAAGGACACAGGCAACAGATCGTAGATCCTGAATGGTAGGGAACGGAGTCCGAAGAGGAGGGGGAACTGCCCACGCCATCACCTCATCCTGATCCGGGTGATTCCTCACATCCTGCTTCGGCCAGTGAGGATGAGGCTGCGTCTACGCTCCTGGGCCAGGAACGTGAGACGGTTTTCAGCGCTGGTCCGCTCTGTCAGGGAGACCCTTAAAATTGAGGACGTTGCCAGCACTTCCGCGCTGCCACACGTGCAGTTTGGGACGCATAAGAGTAGGCGTTCCGCCAAGGTGTTTCCTTACAAGTGGAAACGGCCTTCCAAGGCCTTTGCGGTTCTCGGTTCGCTATCCCTTCGAGGAGGACTTTGTGTCTAAGTGGTCTTCCCCACCGGTGGTGGACCCGCCGGTCTCTCATTTGAACAAAGCCACGGTTATTCCGGTGGAGGATTCTCCGTCCTTTACGGATCCTTCCGATAGGAAGGCTGAGGCGCTTTTGCGGTCTCTGTACTCTGTTTCGGGCATTCTCATGCGTACAGTCTTGGCTTCGGCTTTGGTCTCTCAGACTCTAACTGAGTGGGCTAAAATGTTACATCAGGGTCTTGCGGAGGGGAACGTCTCCCCCGCTTTTGTGGAATTGGCGGACCAGTTGGTGCAAGGCCTTCGTTATGTCTGTAATTCGGCCTTGGATGCGGCGCCCTTGGTGTCCAGGGTGTCGGTGTCAGCGGTGACGCTTCGACGTTTGCTCTGGCTTAAGTGCTGGTCGGCGGATCAGGCTTCCAAGAAGGCTCTTCAGGAGTTGCCCTTTACTGGGGACCGGCTGTTTGGTTCCACCTTGGATGAGATCATTAAGGATCTGACGGGGGGGTAAGAGTACCTTCCTTCCCCAGGCGTGGCAAGCAGGAACAGTGCCTGAAGCCTGGGCCTTCTTTCTCCGCTCACAAGCGGCTTTTTCGGCCCCCTCCGACGAGGGCGGTAAGTTTAACAAATCCACCTCTTCCCAATCCTCCAAGCGTCCGTGGCAGCCCAAGTCTGCCGAGCCCGCCGGCAAGCCCCAGTCCGCATGAAGGTCGGGTCCCGGGGTGGGGGGCTGCCTTCGGCTCTTTTCGGATTTTTGGCTGGCCCACGTCTCCGACTCTTGGGTCCGGGAGCTGGTTTCTTCGGGCTACAAGATCAAGTTTCTGTCCCGTCCGGGCAACCGTTTCTTCCCATCCAACACGCAACTATCCCCTTCGCGGTTGGCGGATCTCCGTCGCGCGGTGGCGGACCTTTGGTCCCAGGGGGTGATTGTGCCTGTTCCCTCCGCGGAAAGATTCAAAGGGTTTTATTCAAACCTGTTTACTGTGCCCAAGAAAGAGGGGGTGCGGCCCATCCTGGACCTCAAACGCTTGAACACCTTCGTGCGGGTCCGTCGGTTCCGGATGGAGTCCATCCGGTCCGTGGTGGCATGGCTCCGTCAGGGGGATCTGCTGGCCTCCATCGATATCCGGGATGCATACCTTCATGTACCCATTTGCGAGTCTCATCAGCGATATCTTCGTTTCGCGGTGGGGGAGGACCACTTTCAGTTTGTGGCGCTGCCCTTCGGGCTGGCGTCGGCCCCACGTGTGTTCACCAAGGTGCTAGCCCCGATTCTGGCGCTGTTGCGTTGTCGGGGGGTTTCGATCGTGGGGTACCTGGACGATCTGCTCCTGCGGGCAGACTCGCATTCTTCCATGATGACAGCTCTGGGGGTCACGGTGCGGTCCTTGGAGGAGTTCGGGTGGCTTCTGAACCTGCAAAAATCTTGCCTGGTGCCTTCACCACGCCTGGAGTATCTGGGTTTGGTTCTGGACACTGTCACGGCCCGGGTCTTTCTTCCTCGGGACAAGCTCCTGAAGCTCCGTTCCAAGGTCCGGCTACTGAGGACTCGCCAGTGGTCGCCCATTCGGGTTTGCATGCAGGTCCTGGGTCTCATGGTGGCCTCCTTCGAGGCAGTGCCCTTGCGCAACACCATACCACCCTGCAGAGGAACATCCTGGTACAGTGGGACAAGTCCCCCCTGTCCTTGGACAGGGAGATTCGGATCTCTCGGGAGGCGAGGGCCTCCCTGCGGTGGTGGCTTCAATCTCCGGTCATGGTGCGGGGAAGTCTTTTCTTCCAGTGCATTGGCCGGTGGTCACCACGGACGCCAGCCTTTGGGGCTGGGGCGGGGTCTTGGGCTCCTTGACCGTGCAGGGTCATTGGTCGCCGGAGGATGGGAAAAAAGCCCTTTTCGGTTTCGGCCTGACAAATTCTGCTGTGGGAGGTGTGTTGCAGTGCCATTCATTTCAATGGCACGCCAAACGCGCCTCCCACCCGCAGTGTAATCGCCAGCACTGGAACGCACGGTACCGCAATGCTGTGCGTTCCAGTGCAGTGCGATTGCAAAATATTGTGTATGCAATTTTATTCTGACGTAAACTTTGTAACACTGCATTTGTGTATTTTATTTTAAATTAGGATGGTATTTATTTATTTTTTGATCCAATTAATCGAAAAAAATAATTGGCCAACTAATCAATAAGGAAAATCATTAGTTGCAGTCCTAGTCTCATGTCGTTTTTAACAAGCGTGTTATTGTTTGTAGGAAGTATCCAATGGTGACCTAAATCTACACTTGAACAGGTAAGGAACTTATAGTAAGTACCAGATTTGGAGCTGCACAGATGACCTTGATTAACATATCGACAAATTGCTTTGTTTAGGGCGAAGGATATGCTTGCTGAGGCACAGACTTCCCGCTACTTGAATGAATTTGAGGAACTTACTCAGCTTGGGAAAGGTGGATATGGAAAGGTCTACAAGGTACAGCTAATGTATCTCATTTTGTTTTCTTTTTTTCTTTTTTAAAGAATGGACACCCTGTAAAGTGAATAAGTGACTCGGTCACTTGTAGAAGCACAAACAATGTGCTTGTTCCCTCCCAGTCCATTCCTACTCTGCCCAGTCATATGGAGAATGGATGGGTGATGGGTTGGACGTCTCGTATATTCTTCCTCTTTCATTCTTTCATTTCTTGGGCGATGTTCCCAGTTCAGGTTCACTTTTGTGGCCATCACCAGAAGGCCTGTTGGAATATCTCTTATTTCACTGCAGGAGGTATCCTAGACTTATTGTTAGGGTACTCTACATCTGGAGTCTGTAGAGTCTGTAGATTGCTGGAGTCTCTACATCTAGACACTCCAGCAAGAAAATTCTGCTGTATAAATGGCCAAGATATTAGACCTTAGTAGGTTGGCCTAACCACAGTCTCCATGACTATTATGAGCTTTAATGGGGAGCGATAGATCTTGTATTGCAGTACATATTGTTAGTTGAAGTCTAAAACTCCTTTATTAAATCATTTTAGATTTTGGCTTTACATTTATTTTATTTTACTTTTTTCAAACAAATGGCTTGCGTCTTATGTGGACAACGCCTCATACCAGTAACTCTGAGATCCTAATAATTTGCACACTGTATCTGCTAGAATGATATAGCGTAACGACTGTATACTTCACTAACTTATTGTTTTGCAGGTCCGGAACAAGTTGGATGGTCAGTTGTATGCAATAAAAAAAATTTTGATTAAGAAGGTGTCACGTAGAGATTGCAAAAAGGTACGTTTCTTCTTAAGAGACAGTGCAGTGGTATGTATGTATGTATGTATGTATGTATGTATAATGTATTGCAATAATAATAATTAAAAAAATATAAATCTATATAATTTGTAAAATAAGAGAGTATCGTAAACAAATCAGTATTGGGTACAGCACCAAAGGCCCAGTGATATCGGGAGGTTGATTCAGTATTACAATATAAAACAACAAATTGCCATAAAAAAACAATGTACCGCTTTGGCATGCTAAAATCCTGCATAATCAGACCGCCAGGGAGGTTAAAGCTTAAGTCCAGTCAGGTAACTTTTAGAGCGGGTAAGGTTGTGAACCTCTATTAGGTTTTTATTTGCATATACTAATCTGTCCCGCCCATATACCACTCTATACCATGAAAAATCCAGTTGCACGGCCTATAGTGACACTGTAAACAATTTGAAATGTGAGGAATGTCCAGCACTCCAATGCAGTAAAATACTATATAGATCATGTGTCCCAACATTTTGGGAGATGCAGGAGCCCTTTCTAAAAGTGATTCAGTTCTATGCCTACATATTGGTCAGTTCTGTAGGGGGTTGTTGTGCTCACCTAAGTTTAGGTCATGCAAATGAGACCTATTCTGACCCTTACCCAGTGTCATCTACTGGTGTCTGCTTATTTCCAGTATTACTTCTTACTTGCAGACAGATATACATTAATGGCTGAAAATATCTTACCTAATGTTGGGGAATAGATGGGTTAGATAAGTAGAGAGTAACATTGAGAGCCCGGGATAACATTGTCCTTAATTAATTTTCCAGTGTGATACGTCTTGCTGCAATTAGCTGATGGATACCCTTTTATCTGTTCCAGGTTCTTCGTGAGGTTAAGGTGTTGGCTGGTCTGCAGCACCCCAATATTGTTGGGTACAATACAGCCTGGATGGAGCATGTTCAGCCACCGCAGTCAAAATGTGAGTGATATTGCATGCCTTAGTAATACCTTACAATAAGCAGGTTATTTAAAGAAATCCTGTTACTAGTCTGAAAAACAAATAAAAGTTCAACTGAAGCTACATTTTTTTTTTTTTTTTTTTTTTTTTTTTTTTTTTTTTTTTTATTAAGTTTTGGATATGGTTTTTTTGAATCAATGTTTGTGTTCCCATTAGGGAGATTCACCCCTGTATTTGTCTTAGTGACCGATATCACTAAAAACAAATGTGATATGCATTTGTTTTCATGGCATCATTATTTTCAGTGCCTGAAATATTTCGGTATTGCCCCCGTGTCACCTTGTTGTGTATAAATACATAGTATTTGAGGTTAAATTAAGACACAGGTCCATCAAGTCCATCCTTTGTGTGTCTGCGTGTGATTGTGCATGTGTATACGAGTCCCTGTGTGATCCTGTACCCCTGTATGTTACGGCCTCTGAGGAAGGTATCTAAATGCTTTTTGAATGATTCAATACTCTCAACTGATACCACTTCTTGTGGCAGCGAGTTCCAGACTTTAACTGTTCTGACTGAAAAAAAGCCCCTACGCCCCTAGTGGTAAATCTTTTCTCCACCAGTTTTAGGTGGCGGCCTTTAGTGCTTGTTATGGAGTTTACTGTAAAAAGTTTATTGCTAATGTTGCCATCACCGCCAAACATTTTGTACATCAAAATCTTGTCCCCTCTTAAACTCCTCACTCGCTATGAGACAAGTTTAACTTTAGTAACCTTGCCTTGTAGCTTAGGTCCTCTAGCCCTCTAGCCTTAATTAGTTTAGTTGCCCAAAAATGTATTTAACCCCTTCATGACTGAGGCCCTTTTTTCATTTTTTGCACCCATGTTATATTCCACATTTTAGGCCTGAAAATGACGTAAAACCCCCCCAACATTATATATTTTCTGAATGCCAAGACCCTATAGAATAAAATGGTGGTAGTTGAAAATTTTTATGTTGCGCAATATTAGCGCAACTCCTTATTAAACCCCAAAATTTAGTGACAAATTTAATTAAATGCCCCAAAACACAACAAATTACCCATTTTTTTAATGAAATATAAAAGATGAGGTTACAACGAGTAAAACGATACCCAACATGCCCAGTTTACAGATTGCGTGCGACCGTGAAACGGCGAAAAACTGCAGTACCCCAAAAAGTCAATAAAAGACGCTTTAAAAGCCCCCACAGGTCATCAATTTAGAGATACCCCAAAATACTGGCCCTAGAATTATTGCTCTCACTCCGGCGTGCGCGGCGATACCCAACATGTGTAGCGCGTTCGTCGTTTTCATGCGTAGGCGCACCCGACGCGTGTTTACGTGGCGACGCGCGTGCTCGCGGGGGTGGGGGACTTTAAATTTTTTTTTTTATTATTTTTAGATTTTTTTTATTTCATTTTTATTTTAAAAACTGGTTTTTTTTTTTTTTACTTTACTTTGACTGCTATCACATGGGGGGGCTTGCAAGCCCCCCCATGTAATAGCAGATGGTGGTGACAGGTCCTCTTTAAGGTGATGCTGGGGGTCCAAAAGACCCTCAGTGTCACCTTTACACTGGAAATAAGCTATTGAAGTGCAGATCGCACTTCAATAGCTTATAGCTGGGCTGCAGGAGCCCAGAACTGACAGCCCAGGGACCGGAAGTGATGCAATCTGCATCGCTCCCGGTCCCATAGAACGGGGAGGGGATCGATGAACGGAAGTTCGTCGACCTCCTCCCCAGCTCCCCGCGGACACAAAGATCGCCGGTCCCGGGCCCGTAGGAGGGGCAACGGAGCCCGGGAAGCACGGCGGGGGTGTCCGGCGGGGGGGGCGGCCCCTTCTTCGGGACGCAGAAGCGATCTGGCGACAGGTAAGTCGCCAGGATCGCTTCTGTTGTAAAGCCGACAGTCGGCTCTACAAGTTTAAACAGACTCCCGGCGGCAAAAGTCGCCGGGAGTCTGTTTAAACAGCCCCGATGCTGGCGACGTACACTGTACGTCGTCAGTCACGAAGGGGTTAAAAAAAAAAAACAAATGTGAAGGAAAATCACAAATTTTGGGTTGTCATAAAAACCTGCATAGATGGAAAATCTTCCAATGGCGACACTAGTTCTGGTAATCCTGCTGAGCTCTTTATTTCCTGTTGTAGCATTTTCCCTCCCCTGACATGATGTGCATGGTCACATGCCCTAGTCACATGTGCCAGAGTTCCAGGAAGTAAATGGAGAGCTAGAATTCAGTTAGTTAACATGGTCACTGTCAGAAGACTGGGGAAGAAAAGAGAAATAAGGTCTGCAAAGAATACAGAGCCGGCGATTATCTAGAAGTATGTTTTTGTAGATCGTCATTACTAAACATTTCTAAAGGTGTATTTGTTGTTATTTTAAAGATATGGGTAAAGGTCCTCGTTAACTCTAGTAAACACGGTTTGCAGGTAAAATGGCCACTTTCTGAACGCCAGTAATTCCTCTGTAGTTTCAGTAGTTACCCTAAGGAGAACTATGGGGAAAAACACTGACCCCATAGTTCTCCTTTAACTTTTTTCTACTGAGGCTAGCAGTGGAGAAGTACAGCTTGGTCACCATTGCACACATCTTGTCCTAGTTTGAGTCACTGACCCAGACACGCAATGCAGCACAACTTGTCCTGGTGACTTGACTTTTTCTACTGAGGATAAGAATACAGATAAGTAGTGGGTAAGTACAGATTGGTCACCATTGCAGCCCTCCTCCTTAAGATGCAAATTCCCTGGCTGCATAGGCAGAGCCAGCTGTCAATCCCGCAGCTGGGTGGATCCAGATTGTCGGGATCCGTCATGGCTGCGATGTCTGAGTATAGCTGAGTATAGCGAGCTGTAGCTTGCGGTATACTGAGCTTTGGGTCGCGGGGGGGCGCTAGTTTGTGGTCTCCCGTGACCCTTAGGAGAACTATGGGGAAAAGCCCTGACCCCATAGTTCTCCTTTTAAGGTATTTTGATATTATAAGTCTTCTAAAAAAGGGATTTGAAGTTCGGTATTTGGCCACTTTTTCACAGTTTGTCATAGGTACTGCTCTCTGCCAAGACTCTGCTCTCTCATGGTTCTCCTCCTACTTATCTATGCGCTCCTTCAGTGTCACCTACAATTCTAACTCTTCCCCCTCCTCTCCCTCTTTCTGTAGGGGTCCCCCAAGGCTCTGTCCTTGGACCCCTTCTCTTCTCCATCTACACCTCCTCCCTTGGTCAACTAATAACCTCACATGGCTTCCAGTACCATCTCTATGCCGATGACACTCAAATTTATCTTTCCACTCCACAACTCTCCCCCTCAGTGTCTTTGCGTGTCACTAATCTACTAAATGACATATCAGTCTGGATGTCACAACATTTCTTAATACTCAACCTTTCAAAAACTGAGCTCATGATATTTCCTCCTGCCCGTGCACCTTCCCCCAACATTTCAGTTGATAATTAATAACACAACTATCCAAACCTCCCCTCTTGCCAAGGTCCTAGGTGTCATCCTTGACTCGGACCTTACCTTTCTTCCCCACATCCAATCCCTATCCAAATCCTGCCGCCTTCACCTTCGTAACATCTCAAAAATACGCCCCTTCCTCACCAAAGAAACCGCAAAACTACTCATCCACTCCCTTGTTATCTCTCGTCTTGACTATTGTAACTCCCTCCCTCCGCATTGGCCTTCCACTACACAGGCTATCCCCCCTTCAGTCTATCATGAATGCAACTGCCAGACTCATTCGCCTTACCAACCGCTCAGTGTCTGCATCCCCCCTCTGCCAATCCCT